GTGACTTCACAGTCAGACCTTACAGCCTTATAGGAGCAAAGGCTCGTGAGGCCCACTCCTGGTATTCCTCTGGGGCACTTTCTGGCCCCTGGCAGCCACCTCTATCTCTCCAGAGTCACAGGAGTCACAGACCCCCAGGGAGGAGGTAGCTCCACTCAGGCCCCCAATGCCACAGGGGCTCCCAACATTACCCAGCTCTCCTACCAAAGATTTCTTCCCCAAGTTTTACTTGCACCTGCATAAGGATGAGTGGTGAGGGAAACATTTGTCCCCTCTTCTAATTCAGAGTATAGTAACGTTCCACTTCCTCCCCACATTTTCCTGAGTAACCTATAAACGTGTGTTGACTGACTGCATAAGGGAGGCTGACTTAGCAGAAAGAAAACCAGGCTAGAATTTGGCAGATCAGAATTCTAGGTGTCCATTCTATTATCAGTTTCTTGTGTGACCGTTAGAAAGACATTGACACCTTGGAGCTTCATGCATCTCAGTTGTAAAATGAGCAGACCGGGATGAATGCTCTCTAAGCATCCTCACGCTGTGCATGTGACAGGGGGCTGACCAGGGGGAATTCGGAGCAGTATCTGATAGAGGAATTGTCCATTTCCATCCCTGATTCCTTCTGCCGTTTTTGCCCATGATTTCCCGGGATTAAAAGTGAACAATAATTTAGAAACATTTTACCTTAAATATGGAATTCATCATTTTATAAATCTAATTCTTCCAGTTTTCTGGGGGAGGGGAGTCTACTTTTCTCCCATGTATTTTTCTGTTAAGATGCCAGGCTTTGGGGACAGACAGACCTAATCCTGGGTCCTGCCTCCACCACTTGCTTAGTTTTGTGACCTTAGGCAAGATGTTTCACTTGGTCTCGGTTTCTTCAGCTACAAAATAGGGACAACAGACCTCCCTCAGAAGGTTGTTGCAAAGATCACAAAATAAAATGAGATAAAGTGGTTCACCATCCACAGCATGGTGGCCTCAATAAACAGCATTTTTTTAACAGAGACTTATTTATTTATTTTTAGAGGGGATCCTGGGGACTGAACCCAGGACCTTGTGTATGCTAAGCATGCACTCTACCACTTGAGCTATACCCTCCTCCCCAACCAGTATTTTTTTTAAAGACACTTCCTGACCTCACCATCTGTCTCCACAGAGCATACGCTCCTGCAGGACTCTCTTAGAACCAGAGGGAAGTGGTTTGGTGGGACAAATCCTATGTTCACGTGGGAGGCAAGGAAGACCCTTCTCCTGTGAATGCAAAGGTGTTATATACACAATCCTGGACAGACTGGCCTCTTAAAGGTGAATTCCAAAGTAGAGACCACAGAATGAGCCTGGAGTTGGCCTTTGGCACTTATCGCCTGGACCCTATGATAGGTCTCCTATGTTTACAGCCTAGTAAAGTGAGCCCAGGGGATTCCAGACTCCCCTGATCAGTCTAGTCTAGATGGACAACCTGTGTGACCACATCAGTATCTAGCCCCCTATTTATCCATTCATTCTAGGCATCCCTCAGCCAGTCCTTTGATCAGCTCACAAACACGTATTGATCTACGAAATCACTATGTGTAAGTCACTGCGGAGCTAGAGATGAACAGACTTGGTACCTGCCCACAAGGGTCCGGGAATCTAGTGGAGGAGACAGGTCAATCATGAGCTAAACTCTACTGGAAGGTAGGATAAAGGGTACTCTAATCCAGGTCAGAGCAGAAAGACAAGAGCAATTTATTCCACCTGGGATAGGGAGTGGCCAAAAATTTTTTCTGAGGAGGGACATCTGACTATCCTTTACCAATGAGCAGGCTTCTGTTAGGTGGAGGTGTCAGGGCAAGAGTTCTGGACTGAGGAAGATGCCTAAGGCACAGATGCCTAAAAGCCTGAGTGGTACCCGGCTCTGGACACAGGCCATGGGAAGGAGACAGAGCTGTTGGCTGACAGAGACTAGCCGAATCAGAAAGAGGGCCCTGTTTATTTTTCCCAGTACAGCGCATTATAGCATAAAGATACAGGCTCTGGAATCAGACAGCCCTGGGTTTGGAGTTCACCATGCCACTTCCTAGCTTTATGATCTTGGCCAAGTCTCTTCAACATTCTGAGCCTCAGTATCCTTGCCTGCAAAATGATTGTCATGAAAGTTGCATGAGATGAAGTACATAAAATGCTTAGTGTGGTACCTGGTACACAAGTTGCTCCGTAAGTTATATTAATCGTCTCATTAAAAAAAAAAGAGAAAGATCCCTGGAATATAGATAAGATTACCACCACATTCTTCTAAAGGCTGAAATCAGTCTAATGTACTGGGTCAACTGAAGAGTGCATTTTAAATTGCTTATCTGGAAGACAACAGAGAAGATGGGCCTTGGAGTCTGCCAGCCTTGGGCTGGAGTCCCAGTGCCTCCACTTACAAGGAGTTTGGCCTTATACAAGTTACCTAACCTCCCTGAAACTCAGTTGTCCTAACTGCAAAATGGGATAACAATGTCTGTATCAGTGGCGTTGCTGAGAACCTTAAATGAGATAATCAACAGCAAGTTCCTGGCACAGAGGAGGCAGGTAGTGAAGGGCAGCTATTATTGTTTCAACTAAAAGCTTTATCTCCCTAACCTTCAGGCTTTTAAGATTTTTTTGTTGAAATTGGAAAATGTGCTCACATTACAGCCATGAATTGGAACACACTTCCATACATGAGGCCAGAGATCACAGATGCTCTATATCTAACTGAAGTCAGCTTAGTATACCCTCCTCCCAGCCTTGCAAAAGAGATCCTGACTTTGTTCTAAGGGCCCAATCCAGGCTCATGCACCCAATCTGTTTCTTTTCACATTTTTTTGTCAGAGCTCTAAGATCTATTCTTTGTCCTGGCTGATCCCAACCCCACCAGGTCCAACTGCAGATCACCTACTTTGGCAATGCAGCCCATTTAAACACAGAACGAGAGTCTGCAAGAGACCCAGGGTCAGATGTCACGATGTTGGGGAGCAGGAGCAAGAATCTGAAGGAAACCCAAGTGCTACTGCCAGCATCACCCCTGACTGTGTGAGGCGAGCCTTCTTCTCTATTTCCTCCACCCTCCAATCCCCCTGTGGTTCCATCCACAAAAAAGCCCTCAGGCCTCAGATGGAAGGTGCTTCATCTCCAAATTTGAATTGTTTACTCCAGGGTACTCTAGGTATTGAGGTAAGTCAAAAAGAAGGCAGAAAGGAGCAGGTGAAGTACCTTGGCAGGTTGAAGACCTCCCAACAGCTGTCAAAGGGCACAGTGTTCATTTGCTTCCAAGCATCAGGAGTGAAGAACCAGCCCTGCAGGGGGCCTCCCAACCACAATCTATGTAAGGGAAGTAAGATCTGCTCTTCAAGAACCAGAAATCATGGAAAATGGTGCAGATTTCTCTGCCACTGGCTTCACGGTCCATTCACTCTGGACAGCCCTACATGCCGTTTCCATGGAGTTGCTCCTTCTCTGAGGCCAGTGATGCCAAATTCAGCATTTAAGAGGTCCCCTCAAGAGCTCACAGAAGGGCAACCTAGCAACGTGTCCTCAAGCCAGGAAATGAAAGAGCTATCTATACCAGCGGCTGAGGGCTGTCGTTCGGGGGTTAGATCAAATTGTGTTTCGTTTCTCACACTTCTTCCTCAAGCACAAGTTGAAAGAGAAAAACGTTAGGAAGAAAGATTGTAGGGAGGTGGTCCTTAACTATTTCTGGACTCATCTGAAAATTTACAAAGCTATGAACTCCAAAAAATAAAGAGTTCAAATTCTAATCTTTGCAAACAATTTCAGGAAAGACCCTAGGTCTTGGAGTTAAATCTCACGACAGATACCTTGTGGGCAGTTACGTAGGCCACAGACCAATTGACTTACTGCCCTCAGCATGATGTGTTTTCAGAAGTGGTTCACAAACTTCTCTACACCTCAAAATTAACTACAGCACTGGTGAAAACTATCAATCACACTCCCCACGCCCAGTCCTAGTAAATCCAACCCCCCCCCCAGAGGTGGGGCTCAGGAATTTGCATCTCTAACAAGCTCTTGAAAATGATTCTGAGGCAGCCAGCCTTGTACCCATACTTTGGTTAATAGCATAGATTCTGGTGTCAGAGAGACTTGGTCCAAATTTTGGCTTCACCTTGTAATTTTAGGCAACTCATTTTATCTCTCTGAGCCTTGTCTCCTTTGGGGTCATAAGCTGTAAAAATGTTTTTTTTTAAAAAGGCAGACAGCTTGTTGTAATGTAAAAAAAAAGATAAAGAAAAGAATCTCAGTTTCCTCTTTTGTACAATGGGTACCATAAAAGTTGCCTACCTCTTCCCCCTCCCCTCTCCCCACTGTCTCCCCACCTCTCCCTCAGCACTTCCAAGACACCAAGAAGCTGTTGAAATGGTTCGGGACCGCCCATGTGAAAAATGCCCTCTAGGCAACTCAGGAGGATAAATAGTTGGCCTTTGGAGAACAACTGACTTAGGTGTAAAATCGGATACTGATACTTATTTGCTGTATGATATCGCGCAAGATGCCTAACCTCTCTGTGTCTGTTTACTCATTTGTAAAATGGAGATAATATTCCTTGCTCACTAATTCTATGTAGTTCCAAATGGACCTTCCCATCTCCCCTTTGGCTTTGGCTTTTCTCCACTAACCCTCAGTCTGAGAGGAGAGAAGAGTGTTTACAAGGGGCAGCCCTTGAAATCAGACATATCGACTTGGGTGTGAGCTCTTAGCTCTGCACTTCCTAACCAGAGTGACTGAGTGCTTAAGTCCCCTCTCTGTTAAATGGGCATACTGCTCCCTCCTTCACAAGGCTTCTGAGAATAAATGAGATGTCCGCGCAAATGCATTTGCACGGAGAGAGCGCTCAGTAAATCTTTTCCCCCCTTCCCCCTATACAAAGGTAAGGAACTCTTATTGTTCACTTGATTTCTGTCCCACCTCGTGTTTAAGGCATCCGGTCTCAAAGCGCGGAGGACAGCAGAGGTGGAAGGGGAGAGGAAGAAAGAAAGCAAGGGGGAAGCAGCAAACTCACGGGTGAAATGCAAATCGGCCCGGTCCGTGAGTCCGAGCTGCACTTGACACCGCACCGGCTCCCGCGCTCGTGTGCCGCAGCCCCCGCAGGCCGGCTCCCCCCTTTTTGCTAGCAATGGCCTCGGGCCGGAGGCTGCGCGGGGAGGCCGCCCCCGCGCTCCGCTGATTGGCCGTGCCGCCCCGCTCATCATGCTCTTTTGTCTCAATGGGCAGAGGCTAAAAGAAGCGGCGGCTGCTGGGAGGGCCCAGCGGGTGGGCGGGGGCGGCCGCTGCTGCCGTGGGAACCGGGCTGCCTCGACTCCGCTGTCCCTTACTGGGCAATGCTTCGAAGCAGCTCGGTCTGGCTGCTCCGGGTCTCTTAGCGGCCTAGGAGGCGTCATCCTTTCTCCCTACAGAGCCTCTGAGGCGGCGAGGCGGCATCCACAGCTGTCCACGCCAGAGCATCCGCTGTCCACCAGCGGAGCACAGGTAAAGAAAGGGGGAGCGATTGCCTGGCGTGGAGAGAGGAGGAGGAAGTCCCACCAGGACTGGGTGGCTCCCCACTTGGGGAATCGAGAACTGAGAGGCAGGGAACGGAGCACTCTTGTTGGCCCCGCTGAGCTGAGGGAGGAGGTGGGGTTCCATGGGATGCTGCCTAAAGGGTAGGATTTGCCTGGATTGAGAGGGGGACGTTTCAGGGATGGTGGTGGCAAGGGGCTGGTGGTGGGGTAGAATCGCAATCTGTCTGCCTTGAACCCCCTTTGCATCTCCTGGTCTCTTCCTGGTGAGGAATATGTGGGTCTACGTGTCCAACTCCCATTCCCTTTCTCCACGGCAGGTCATCAAAACCGAATTTGAACTTGAATTCCGTACGGCTGATTGCGGAGCTGGTAGGCCAACGATTTCCCGGGCTGAGGGCGGGGGATGTAACGGGGGCGTCGCTTTAGCTTGTATTCACAACGTGGGAGAGGAATTTTCCGTCTGGCTACGGCGGAGGAGAGGGTGAGGGAGCGGGATGAAGGATGAGACTGCTTCTGACCCTTCCCTTCCATGCCCTGCCCTCCGCGATGGCCCTGAGGACCGGGATCTGCAACCCGCGTGGACAGGTCGACTTAGCCCCGGAGCGAGCTCTCTCACCGAAGCACCTGTTGCGGAGGCTGAACGGGAAATAAAGGCGCGCACTTATTTCCAAACTCATATAAGAATCTGAGAAATAACGGCGGAAGCTTTGAGAAGGGGGTGTGGTTGAGACCTGAGATCATGAGTTTAATGGAGATCTTATTTACTACCACAAATTTGTGAGACTTAGACCGTTGCAGTCTATTTTGAAAGCTCAATATCGGCTCCACACACTGACAATTTCACCTAGAATTCTAACAGTTGCCACCTAAGTAACAGGTGGGAGGGAATGGTTGTAGCTCCGACAAGCTCCCTGCTTGCATGGGACACCCACTAGCTCCTGAAGGTTATAATTGCCAGTTTCCTGTAAGGTATTTTCAATTCCAGTTTCCTGCAGTGGGCAAATGGAAAGTGTACTGCCGGGTGTTCGGGAAGATAAAGAAAACGACCGCAGACTGCTTCCCTGCAGTCTACTATCTTACTGACTTATTCTTTTCTTTTCTTTGCAGTTCCTATTGAGATACAAGAAAGGCAGAGCTCGGGAACGTTGCTTTGGGGGTTTCGCCTGCAGATTAGACTTTTCTAAAAAGCCTGAGCATTTTGTTATATTCAGATAGACGATCATCATCGTCTGTCATGGCTAGCATCATTGCACGTGTGGTTAATAGCCGGTGGCAGAACACATCCTTGCCACCTTGGGCCCAATCCATGTTGAGGTCCCTGGGGAGGAGTCTTGGTCCTTTAAGGGTCAATATGGCCGAAAGAAACGTGAAGTTTTTCTCCGGAAGGGTGGTGCCAGCCCAAGGGGAAGACACCTTTGAAAACTGGCTGATCCAAGTCAATGGGATCCTGCCAGATTGGAATATGTCTGAGAAGGAAAAGCTCAAGCGCTTGCTGAAAACTCTGAGGGGCCCCGCGCGAGAGGTCATGCGTTTGCTGCAGGCTGCGAACCCCAACCTAAGTGTGGCAGATTTCTTGCGCGCCATGAAATTGGTGTTTGGGGAATCTGAAAGCAGTGTCACTGCCCATGGGAAATTTTTTAACACTTTGCAGGCACAAGGGGAGAAAGCCTCTCTTTATGTGATCCGTTTAGAGATGCAGCTCCAGAATGCTATTCAGGCAGGGATCATAGCTCAGAAATATGCAAACCAGACTCGCCTGCACCAGCTTCTTTTAGGGGCTGAACTGAATGGGGACCTGCGCTTTAGGCTAAAGAATTTTCTCAGGATGTATGCAGATGATCCAGAGCATCTTCCCAATTTCCTAGAGTTAATCAAGATGATAAGAGAGGAAGAGGATTGGGATGACACTTTTATGAAACGGAAGCGGCCCAAAAGATCTGAGCTAATCATGGGGAGGACAGCAAGCCCTGTAGCATTTCAGGACCCCCCGCCAGTAGCCATCAGCAGTGCTGATTGCAACGTGATAGAGATAGATGATACCCTCAATGACTCAGATGAGGATGTGATCCTGGTGGACTCTCAGAACCCTCCACTGACATCCATTGGCCACCCTCCCCTCAGAGTCAGGGCCAGACCTCAGAATCACGTACTGGTCATTGATTCCCCAAACAGTTCCCGGGCTCAGTCTCCTATCAGTGGTGGTTCTGGGTATAAGAATGATAGTCCTGGGGATATACGGAGAGCCAGAAAGAGAAAATATACAATCCACTGTTCATATTGTGGTGAAGAGGGCCATTCAAAGGAAACTTGTGATGAGAGCAGCAGGGCCCAGGGGTTTGAGAATCTAATCATTACCCTGCAGGAGCTGACCCATACTGAAGAGGAGAGGTTAAAAAAAAGGTTCCTGGCAGACACAATGACCTCTCTGAGCCAAAGTAAGGTGCTAGACCAGCCCTAAGTAAACCCATAACTGTATTCAGAGACTGGTGATAGGGAAAACAGTGGTGGTGGGGTGGTGGGGGAGGCTTTGCATGAATTTATCCACAAAGTGGCTTTCTTTGGAGAAGAGGTTATGTATACCAGCAAAGTGGAAAGAATGGCCTGACCTCTATCCCTGCTCCCTCCTCCATCTGCCTAAGTGTCTATTCTCTTGATGTGTCTATGTCTATTTCCTTGATGACTTTATTCTTTTTATGTAAGGAGTATAACTCATTGTTAAACCTTCAAAAAGTGAAGGAAAAACAAAAACTAAAGTATGCATTACCTGAAACTGTCCACCCTTGTATAACCAGTCAGTCCTTGGATGAATGTCCTAAATATTTCCCTCTTCTTGTGTACCCAGAAAGATATATGTATAGATAAAAGTGATCAAATATAAGTGCTGTTCTATACTGTGTATATTTTCACCAAATAATATATGTTGTGGATTTCTATGTCAATTAATATATGTAAGCATCAAGTTTAATGTCTCTGTGTGTGATAATACTTTTAGGAGTACAGAAGGAAAATAATAAGAAAACTAAATATAGAAGCTATAAATGGGGGGTCGTACTGTGAAGTGGAGTTTTTATGAACCTCATTTACAGATGAGGAAAATGGAAGCTGAAATAAGTTGACTATCTCCCAGAGTCCCTTATCACAACTGATCTGTCTCCTATGTCACAGAGTCAAATCTGCCCCACTAGTTAACAATGCTTTCTTCCCTAATGCATCTTGAGAACTCTGATGATGGGGACAGGGGTGGGGCAAAAATGGGATATGGGTATTTCAAGGGCTCCATTCTGTTCACTTTAGGAAGGGAAGGCTCTCCCTTGCCTGGGTAGATTCCTTAGATTGCTGCTACTGCTCCTTCTGGACAACACCTGAATAAGACTGTCCCTTGGGTTGATTCTACCCTCTGCCTCCTTTCCAATTACAGAGAAAGGAGCTATTCATGAGAGTTCAGTATCAGGGGGAGCAGCACAATGCAAACCTCACCCTAGCTACATGCTAGAGGACACCAGAAGCCCAAGGACTCCCAGCTAACTTTCCGTGATCCAAGAAATGGGACTTGCCAAGGAAAGATGAGAAGCAATCCAGATGCCAGGGTGTGTGAAAACACAAGGAAATTAGAATGTCACAGACCCCTTTAATTTTTCCCTTAGCAGATGTACTGGGGATTGAACCCAGGACCTTGTGCATGCCAAGCACATGCTCTATCACTGAGCTATACCCCCCACCCCATCCACATACCGTTTTAGAACTGAGGGTATTAATAGGGGAGAGAAAACACAGAAGGACCTTCCTGGACATCTGCTCCTGCTACATCCCATGGCTTCAGATTGGAGGGTGATTTAAAAAAAATGACTGACTTGTGACCTCAGTCTTTGAGGGTCCCATGTTCCTGGTGGGTAAAGAAGTTCCTGTCCTTGTGAGCAGGACAAGGTTGGTAGGGGAATGATTTCATTTATGTCTGTGTGTGGAGTGAAATGAATGAAGACCTGAGGGAGTTTGTCAGGAAAAGAATAGGGGTGAGAGGACAGGGTTGCTGCATGGGAGATGGTGTGTGGAGGAGAGAAAGCACAGAGCTTTCTCTGTGTGTGGGTGGTGGGGG